TTAACACTTGTCCTGCTAGAATATGGTTGCCAATGAAGACAGACGCCCCCCCACCACCAAATATTCCAGTTATCGGACAAGAAAAGAATTATGGATTATACATCTTGCTTTGGTTTATTTGTAGTCATTGTTTGTAGAAATAATAAAATTAAGAGAAGGGATTGACCCAAAAAAAAAGAATTACGACGTAAAAATTTATTTTTTGGTACACAATTGGGCCTCTAATGGGGTCAGTGAAAATTAGGTGATTCACCCCTATTTTTAAAGAGGTTGATTTTTGAGTTCGAACCTGCACTATTTCACTTGGATGGACTAGTATTTGCCTAACACTCAAATTCCAGTTGGAATTGTATAGGGGTCACACTCTGTCCCTCTTGGTGTCAACGGCCCCCATATAGACCAGGTCAATATTGTGTCACTTGTTCATGGCATTGGCAGCCTATGTTGAAATCTCTGGTTGTAGATTTGAGGATATCTGTTGTGCGTGCAAGATCCTGCACAATATAAAAAACGAGAACAGATCTCTCCCTTGGTGAACTTCGAGTAAGCCCGTTGAGTGACCAAACACGTTGCTTGGAACAACCTGCAAGGTACGGTGATAGCCTGAAACGGCAATGAGAGATCCTGGGAACGGAAGAACGATCCAGTAAGGCTGAAAGAGGTTCCTGAAACAAAGAAGAACAAATTAGAAGAGCGCCTATTCAAAGAGGTTCACTATTCAAAGACAATTGGTTGGAGAGGAGCATTACTGTAATACCCAAGTTCAAAAATAATAAATAATGATAATTATAATTATTATAATAAAGTGACTACCAAAGCTTTGATAGTATGGGTGGGGGGTTAATTTTTAATTTCATTAAACAAAAGGGAGCTAAGTAATTTATTTTTGAAATAAAAAAAAGGTTGGCGGGGGATCACTGCGCTATATAAACTCTTTTACATTAAAAAAAAAAAAACCCTAGCATACATCCAGGGAAAATAAAAGGAGTTCAACCCATTAAAAGTATGAATTCATTACTAATTTGATGAATTTTATATTTTATTCAATCGTATAGTGCTAGATTTATCATAATGTAGTATATAATGGGTATATATGTATGTTTATAGTCCAGAATAATAATAAATATGTAAATAGATTTTATTGTAAGTTGATAATTCTAGGTGTTATTAGACCTAATTTATATCGGTTGGTTTTGAGACTTTTAAAGAACTTAATCCATGTGTTAAAAAGAAAAAGAAACACAAAGAAGCAGGAGGAAAAAAGTTGCGGAAATCTTTAAAATTACATAAAACTCCCATTTGGTTTTAAGGAACTTTATTTTGACCCTTATACTATTATAAATTTAATTTTAACTATTTTTTTACTTGGTAAGTCAAAATATCTTCAATCCTGAGTTAAATTTATATTCAAATTTAAATTTGAGTTAAAAAATCTAAAAAGCTTACTCTAACTCTTACTCAAACTTTTACCAAATCAAGAGGGACCTTTTTTTTCACTCAAATTAAAGGAGACTCAAATCTTTAATGGTGAGATTTCACCATCTTTTAAAAATCTAATAGTCATATTTACTAAATTACTCTAATTTAATTTTGAATTTTTCCTCACTTAAATTTAAGTTTCTCTTTCTTTAAATTTAAGTTTGTCTATTGTAACCCTTTGTATCAAATCAAAGTTTTTATTCAAATACTAACTTAAATTTGAATAAAAATTTGAGTCACGGTTGAAGATGTTCTAAGAAAAATAGAATTTTGAATAGTTTTATAACAGTCTCTAAAAAAGAAAGTTCGTTTTTTCAAAGAAATTACACTTTGACCTTAAAAGTTTCAAAAATTATAAATTAACCCCATAATTTTAGAATTTTTTTTTTTAAAAAAAAAACTGCCTAGGTTACTTCCATACCCTATTATCTTATATTAAAAAAAAAAGGTTATTTCTATGTAAGTGATATATAAAGTATATGCCAAAAGATAGAAAATACGAAAATTAAATGTAGAATAGAGATTGATCATTACGTATTATTTTGATTAGATGGTGATTACATTGAGATTGTGACAGAGGGTTTGGAATTGGAATTAGGGATCCAAGGTGAGTAGTTTGGGGTTGGAATCAAATACTTTTCAATTGTGAATTGTTATATACGTAAATTTCAAAAATATTTGGAATGATTTTATGTCATTACTTAAATGTGTTTTAGTGATAAAAGAAAAATAGTGTGTGCCTTGTTATATCAATTCCATTCCAAATATCATATCTTATCATATCATATCATACCATACCGTTGTTCTTTTGAAATTATGTGAGTTTTCGTTTGATATTCCAATGAATTCGATATGCTAGAAATATTTTGGTAGGAGTGAATTGCTTGGGTAGTTACTGGTACTCGTGTTAGGTGCACTCAGTGTCATGTTTATAGTTGTGAGATGTGATTGTGGCCTGAGGGACGAGTGAGACAGTGACAATGCACCGAGTGACATCTAGCGTGATGGTGTGATGAACCGGAAATGAAGTCATGGGTTAGTCTAAAGATTGAACAATTGGGTTTCGAATGACTTGTAAAGTTTTATTGTGATAAATGATGCTTTCGCAGTTAATTATTTGATTATCGTTTTTTTAATTCCATATATTGTGTTTTAAATTACTAACTAGACCTCTGAAATTCACCCCGCATTCACCCACTCAATTGCAAATTGAATTAGAAAGTGATGGAAATTGAAGGAATAAAACGATGTACTTGTAGATCAAAGATGTATGGATTGTTAACTAAGGAATTGATTTCCTAAAGTTGTATCATTTTATGCATTGAACCTCGACAAGTTTGTATAAAATGTTTGTTTGGAAGATAAACTTAAGTTATGAAATTTCAGTTTATTTATTTAAGTTATGAAAGAGTTCTACTATGACATGACTCTAAATTTTTAATTTTTTTTTTAAAATCTATTTTTATGAGATTTATATTTCAAATTTTAAATTAGCTAGCTTTCGTATTTGAAAGTGTTCGTCAGTTTCCGAATATTCAATTTGTTAAAATGGGTGTTAAGTTTAGTTTGGATAATTTAATAAAAAGTGTCCTTATAGTCCTAATATATTTTTGAATGGACTTAAAACCAAAAAAAAACTCCACAGTACGACTAAATTCTAAAAATTCTCATTTTTAACGACTCTTAAACAATATTAGGACAATTTTACTGTGTGAATTATTGTGTGTGTTTCTTCTGTACATGTTCTGTCAAAAAAAAAACAACATTAGGGCCATTTAAATCAAGAACACCTTAATCTTAGAGGCATTGACATAAGGCCCTTGTGGACCGTGAGAACCCAAATTGTAAACAGGTCTTGGGCTGGCCTCAAAAACACTCTAACCTTTAGCCTTGACATTATACGACAGCGTTTTGAACACTGTACATAGTAACACCGAGTTATATTCTTTCTGAGTCAAAACTCTATCCGTTGTCTTGTCTTTGTGTCTGTAAACTGTAAAGCCCTAAAACATGACTGCAGATTCTTGGCCGATATAGAAGAAGAAGAACTAGAAGAAGAATTTGAATGTCATACAAAGAGGTACAGAATTTTCTTGTGGAGCTTTTTTTATACACGAATATGACCGAAAAAATGTATATTATTTGGTAAATTTTTTGTTGCCCAAGCAGTCTCAGTGATGTTGTTGTTCCATGTGTAATGATGAAACTCATCCAACGTTTTTGAACCCGGTCACTGGTTTTTGCTTAGTTTTGAGGGCTACTAAACATTTTCTAGGAGAAGTCATTTCACCAGCTCAAGCTCTTTCTTTGATTCATATCTGCAAACACCTTAGCACTCTGTCCGTTTCCGATACTTAAGGGTTATTTTTTTTTTTTTGGAAGATTGGTTTGTTAACTAAGTGTTGCTCATCAAGTTTTCTTATATTATGGTACGAAATTTCCTACTTTATGTTATGGAAGAGCATAGTGCTACCCCGACTGGAATTTCTTATTGAATCTCTCCNTTTTTTTTTAAAATCTATTTTTATGAGATTTATATTTCAAATTTTAAATTAGCTAGCTTTCGTATTTGAAAGTGTTCGTCAGTTTCCGAATATTCAATTTGTTAAAATGGGTGTTAAGTTTAGTTTGGATAATTTAATAAAAAGTGTCCTTATAGTCCTAATATATTTTTGAATGGACTTAAAACCAAAAAAAAACTCCACAGTACGACTAAATTCTAAAAATTCTCATTTTTAACGACTCTTAAACAATATTAGGACAATTTTACTGTGTGAATTATTGTGTGTGTTTCTTCTGTACATGTTCTGTCAAAAAAAAAACAACATTAGGGCCATTTAAATCAAGAACACCTTAATCTTAGAGGCATTGACATAAGGCCCTTGTGGACCGTGAGAACCCAAATTGTAAACAGGTCTTGGGCTGGCCTCAAAAACACTCTAACCTTTAGCCTTGACATTATACGACAGCGTTTTGAACACTGTACATAGTAACACCGAGTTATATTCTTTCTGAGTCAAAACTCTATCCGTTGTCTTGTCTTTGTGTCTGTAAACTGTAAAGCCCTAAAACATGACTGCAGATTCTTGGCCGATATAGAAGAAGAAGAACTAGAAGAAGAATTTGAATGTCATACAAAGAGGTACAGAATTTTCTTGTGGAGCTTTTTTTATACACGAATATGACCGAAAAAATGTATATTATTTGGTAAATTTTTTGTTGCCCAAGCAGTCTCAGTGATGTTGTTGTTCCATGTGTAATGATGAAACTCATCCAACGTTTTTGAACCCGGTCACTGGTTTTTGCTTAGTTTTGAGGGCTACTAAACATTTTCTAGGAGAAGTCATTTCACCAGCTCAAGCTCTTTCTTTGATTCATATCTGCAAACACCTTAGCACTCTGTCCGTTTCCGATACTTAAGGGTTATTTTTTTTTTTTTGGAAGATTGGTTTGTTAACTAAGTGTTGCTCATCAAGTTTTCTTATATTATGGTACGAAATTTCCTACTTTATGTTATGGAAGAGCATAGTGCTACCCCGACTGGAATTTCTTATTGAATCTCTCCTCTCCGCATCATTCAAGCTTCCAAAGTGAGTCCCCTCGGATTTTATTGATTCAAATTTCCCAAAACATGTCTTGGTACATCCTATGCCCCATTCTCTTGTTTTTTTTTTTCTTTTCTACCTCTCTGATAGCATTACCTTTATTTTTCTTGAATTGGATATTGAATTACTTGAGTTATATTTTTTGGTCTAAAAGACTAGTTTTGACATGCCCACAATGTGTTTGATGAAATGCTCAAAGGCCTTATAGGCATTGGTGTGTTGTAGTTTGCATTGACGCTCATGGTCAGCTCTGTTATGTGAATTGCATTGACGCTCCTGATCAAATTAAAATCATGTTAACATGGCTTTGCGAACAATATTAAATCATCAGGAATCAAAAGAGAGCTCACAAGCGAACACATGAGAACTGGATTTTGGATAACAAGATTCAACATAGTTCACTAATGACAGTGTAGTGAGAAAAGCAAATCACGTCTTTTAGCTGCATTTATGCTGAACAGCGATGGTATCAAAATATTAAGAGATTCAAGTGGTGAGTGTTAAGCTCTTGTATGTGCTTGGAGTTTGAATTATGCATTATTGGCTACAGTTGTAGTTAATTAGTGATGCATGCAGTAGCTTTCGACAAGAACTTGGGCTTTTAATTATAACTTGGGTGTGTATATTTTGGTGTACTAGTGCGTGTATATGTGTATATTTTTGTATAATAGTGTGTGTCTACTAAGAGTTCTAATTATTTTACAGGTTAATAGATTTAAGCCAATTCGTTAATAACACAACCCATTGTTACCCATTTAATACGTGAGTTAATGGATTGGATTTATTTTGGACCCAATCCAATTTAATTCAACTCATAACCAACCTGACCCACCCATTTATCACCTTTAGTTATATGAATTGTGGGTGGATTGATGTATGCGGAAAGATGAATTGGGTCAAATTTTCATCTTATAGAGACAATTTGAACCCCACTTTATTACCTAAAAGATGGTCATTGATTTCTTAAAAATGCTATTTTAGTTTCATATTGATGTTTACACCAAATTGACAGTAAAATTCTTATGAAGGTGGATTTTAATATTTTATGATGTTAAATTTAGCGGGCTTTCTTCTGTACGGGATTGTATATTATCTCTTACTTTCCAGTTAGACAGAGCTGGTGTAGAGGAAGGGATCACAGACATGGATTATGTTATCTTTTATACAGTAATTTAGCTGTAATTTTTTTCCCTGTTCTTTTCTTTGAATTATATATGTGGTGTTCATTGATTTTCTGTTTGCAACAATTGGGACCAATTTTATGGATTTTGATTTGGATGTCTACTGTTGTTTGGACATTATATTCCTTCTTTCTAGTAGGTGGATTCCAAGTTGGGTGGATGGGTGCATGAAACCATTTGGTACTTGAATGATGGGGAGAAAAAAACTCAATTAGCATAAGAGTTTGAAGAATGTTGCTAATGAGCAAAGGGCTCAACGTGAGCCTTTGTTGATACACATTAAATAGATCTATTTATGGTGTTTACCTTGCCATTTATTAGCCATCTGCTAGAATTGGATAGTCCTTCTGTTAAAAGAAAGAGTATAAGGGAATCTGATTCTTTCCTTTGAGGTAAAGGATTGGCCTTGCATCTTGTTTACCATGTTGGGTTTCAGTCAAGATGAATTGTAAATCTAGAGTAGCAAGAATAGAATCTTGGATGGGCTCTGAAATTCAGATGCCTGATGCATATTTTGAGAAATTGAATCCCAGCAGAAAAAAAAAAAAACTAGATTTTTGAGAAAGAAGAACATCTCCCATGCCTGCTGGTTCCATGTAACATCTGTTTCCAATGCCTTGGTGTAAATTCGACCATGAACAACAAGTGCTTCTCATTTTCTTTTTATCTTTTTTCCTATTAAAAATTCTCTGCAATTTGAATATTTAGCATGTTGTGGTGTTTGTAGGATCCTGCAACCAGCTACATTAGTACTGTATCCGAATAGCTCAGCAATGACCAATACTTGCATATCTAGATTCCGCAGCATTCACCATAAGGCAGCATTGCCACTGTTCCATAGGAAAAAGTTTGGAAGTGAACTGTTCTTAAACTTTTCAACCTGTTCATTGTCGTCAATTTCTCCAAATACATCTCTTATCATCCGACCGCCATCAAAATTAGTATTGGCTGCCTGCATCACTCCATCCAATGCTCCACAACGGTCCGATGAATGGTTTGCACTCCGAAAGGACAAGTTGACCACGAGCACCTTCAGCACTGCTCTGGGCTTCTGGAAAGGCAACCGCCGAAGTGAGCTTTGGCATGAAAAAGTATTTGCATCAGATGCACTTGTCGTGGAAGCTTCTAAAAAGGGTGCCATGGAATGGGGCGTTCTGAATGAAGCAGTAGCTGTAGAGCGGTACAAAAGCATCACCGGCCGTGATGTGAGCTCGCTAGGATTTGCCATCCATTCAGAGGAGCGATTTGATTGGCTTGGTGCATCCCCGGATGGTCTTCTTGGATGCTTTCCAGGAGGAGGGATCCTTGAAGTAAAGTGCCCATATAATAAAGGGAAGCCTGAGATGGGTCTGCCCTGGTCAACTTTGCCATTCTATTACATGCCTCAGGTGCAGGGCCAAATGGAGATAATGGACAGAGATTGGGTTGATTTGTATTGTTGGACACCAAATGGGAGCACAATATTTCGGGTGTGTAGAGAACGTGGTTATTGGGAGTTGATACATAGAATTTTACGAGAGTTTTGGTGGGAAAATGTGGTTCCAGCTAGGGAAGCTCTGCTGCTGGGAAGGGAGGACGAAGCCAAGGCATACAACCCGACATCAACACACAAACAGACAGGACTTGTGATTGTTAAAAGCATGAAGTTGGCTACTGAGTCTAAGTTGTTGTGTAGGGAGGTTGCAGGGCATGTTGAATTTTATCGTTGATGGGTGTCAAATGGGAGGATGAATGAATTCCACCCTTTTTTTGAACTTATGATTTATTGGCTCCATCATGTATTTGCTCATTGGTTAATCCCACCTCATTGTATGATATTCGTATTATTTAATCCTGATTAATTATAATACGTCAATGTTGATTCATGTTTCAGTTTGTTTGATTATTTTTAATGTGAATAATATGAATCTTGATTACTCATGATTAGATGGAACAATTTATTCCACAAACTGAGGTTTGGCATAAATTTAGATCTCAAGGTTGGATTTCTAATTACCTTGGTGTTCATAACAGTCAAACGAACAGACATCACTAGCTTTCCAAAATAACCAAATCAATCCAAGGAAATCTGAGATTTGTATTGTCCTCGGTGAATATGATCATTGATATTAATTATGACCCTTACATATATTGAGGGCCAGCAGCTTTCAGTAAAACAACTCCAGGATGAAATGAATCCACATCCATTTCATCAGTTGTTGCATGAAATAAAAAAATTTATCAAAGAATATTCAACTGATAAGAACTGATTAAGAAATTAATGCTAAGAACTTGACTAATTAAGATCCGATGTTCCAGAAGATGCTCTAAGGCCTAAGCAGTAAGTGGTTGAGTCAGCTTTTATTGATCCACATATTGAGGAACAGGAATAAAAAGAAGTTGAGGATAAATCAAATTGCATGTGAAACCACTTGGAAATGTTTCAGAAGAAATTGAGGCAGAGAGAGAGACATGTCAAACTAGCACAGACATTGAACATACATACTTTTCACGCATACTTGCAACCACTTTGGGTGTACTTGAGTTTATTTAAAAGGGTAATATTCCGATACTTTATCATCTAGAGGTGAGAGAGATAAGAGATGAACTTCAATAAGGATGTATTTAAACCCCATTTAGAGGCTGATACATTGGTTTAGAACAATTGGCAGGCAAGAGAAGAGAACACATACAACAGCAAAAACAAGGGGATCCAATTGAGTGTTCAGGGGTTGATTTTTCAATCCACAAAATGCTGAGGGAACGGAAGTTATGATTTAACTCTCCTTTAATACAAGTTTTCTTAACTTCACTCAATCCTAGATCACCAACTATATATTATAAATAAACCCCCACTCGAAGACGGCGAGTCCACTTTAACTTATGCTAGGTGATCTAGTATTGATAGGAATTGAGAGGTGGTGTATTAGAAGAGATCTAAATCCTAAAAGTTATGCTTGTCAGCGTCTACATGGATGCCCGTAAACCCCCGGGTTTATCGGTAAACCGTGTGGAAGTTGATTTGGGGCAGGTATATGCAAGGAACTCTTTGTCAACTTCAAATTTAGACATGTCTCCCTCGTCCATATTCATCCATGCCTCTATTCCATCCCCTTCCCTGTTGTCCATGAAGACCACAAAATTCTTAGACATAAGGTTCGTCAAACCCACCCTCACAGATCTCCCCCACCCAAAATTTAACTTCATAAGTGAATTCTGCTCAAACTAGAGAAATTAAACACAACCACCTCTCCTTTTGTGATTCTTGGAGCTCCCTATATTAGGAGGTTGAACTGTTCATCGGCTTCTTGAAGTTTTATGACATAATCCCCATCTATGTCCTTCATTGTGGCTTTAATGTGCCTCACAAGGTCACGGCACTCATTTCCATTGTCCATATATGGTGTTGCTATTGCTGTCTTGGGCAGGTATATGCAAGGAACTCTTTGTCAACTTCAAATTTAGCCACGTCTCCCTCGTCCATATTCATCCATGCCTCTATTCCATCCCCTTCTCTGTTGTCCATGAAAATCACAAAATTCTTAGACATTAGGTTCGTCAAACCCACCCTCACAGGTCTCCCTCACCCAAAATCAACTTCACATAGTGGAATTCTGCACAAACTAGAGAAATTAAACACAACCACCTCTCCTTTTGTGATTCTTGGAGCTCTCTCTATGAGGAGGTTGAACTGTTCATCGACTTCTTGGAGTTTTGTGACATAATCCCCATCTCTGTCCTTCATTGTGGCTTTCATGTGCCTGACAAGGCCACGACACTCATTTCCATTGTCCATAAATGGGGTTGCTATGGCAATTCGGTAGATAATATTCCCAAAAGAACACTCTGGCAATGGAGGGTCCTTTTTTGTACATAGGTTCACTGCACGAAACAGTGTAGAGCCTTACCTTAGTTGCAGCTGCAAATCGATTCCATATGAAAGCTAATAATGCCTCAACACGTGTTGGATGTATGAAGAAATATTCATAAGTGCGATAAGTGTATTTATCTCTTAGAGCAGCTACCATAGAATTGCTAAACACAAAGTTCTTCATCACAAACTTGTCTTTCGTTATCTCTGCAACATGATTTGTATCAATGTCAGATTATGATTGAGTCTGACTCTCATGTCCTTGTTCAAATGCTAAAGGGGCAGGCAGAGGTACCTTGGAGATTGCTTGGAGATATGGAGAAGATCTGGGAACTGCTTAGTAAACTGCAGTATTAGTTGAGGCACATATACAGGGAGGCAAATGGGATAGCAGATTTTTTGGCCTCGTTTGCTGTTCAGACTGAGCCATATTCTGAATTTTCAACCCATAGTAGTCTGCCTTTGTCTGGCAGATTGCTATTGCATCAGGATCAGGCTGGATTACCTAAGGCAAGGAAGAGGGTAATCAAAGGCAAGGGGTAGGTTGATGCATCAGATTCTATGAACTGGTGCAGTTATGTATCAGAGCTATGAGCTGAATGTAGTAGCTGGTCTAGAAGGATTTCAATCCTTTTGAAGGATTAATGCCAACTCTTGATGGCAGCCTTCTATTGTCCCAGGGTGCACATTTGATGGTATGTTACTCCAGTTTGAGCTGAATGATGGAGAGCTGATCTGATGCTGGAGACAGCCGAGGGAAGTTGGTTTGATGCTATTGGAGTATTGATTTGGATGATCTGATGAGTGCAGGAGTTGAGAATGTAGGAAGGTGTTGAGCAGGATATGTCTGCAGTGGGTTGTCTTCAGTCTACACTGGACTGATATTCTGTTTTGCATTGGACTGCAAGTCTCTGCACTGGAATGGCAGACTGAGTTTCTGTCTGAGGAGCTGGTTTGCTGTTCTGTACTGGCCTAGAATGTCTGAATCAGGTTCCAGGCAGGAGCTGAGGTGCAGGATCAGAACACAGTTGCTGTACAGGATTTTTGAGGTCAGAATTTTGTAACAGATTTTCTGTTTTTTTGTGTACAGTTTACTGTTTTGTTTGTTAAAACAGTTACTGTTTTGCTTTAACAGTTTCTGTTTTTGCTTCTTGTAATTCTTGGATTTTAATAAATAAAATTCTCTTTTTAAAAATAAAAAATAAAAAAATGGTATGATGTGTTTCTCGGAGGAAAGAGTTTGGCCGATTCAAACAGTGGAAACAATATGCTGCTACTATCGCCACGGGCAATGGCAGCCCAACTGTTGACGAACATAGCAATAGACAAGGAATCAGCAATTATGTGGGTAGTGGAAATCCCAACCGCCATTCCACCACAATTAAAGAAGCTGGCTTGGACAGCCATGAGTGAATTACCAACATCATCAACTTCAAGAGGTAGAAATTTGGTGAAGTCATTAGCGACTTGGTCTTGGACAACTTGGGAGAGTTGGCACTTGGCCCGGGCTTCCGAATACGTAATACCCTCGTCATTACGGTCGACGGAGATGTTGTCTATAAGTCTTCCTGCAAGTGGATAAATATGTGTTAAGGTCTTGGATAAGGATAACTTTGAGAAGATTAGATTTGTCAGTGTTGCTCAACTTGATATCCAAGTTGGGCTAATTGAAAAAGATAAAAGGCATATAGATTGTAGTAGAGATTTGATCAAGAAAAGAGAGTTGGTAATTTTGGAGGTGGGAAGGGATTGGGGATGATGGTTTGATGGTCTCTCTAGAGACAACTTCTAGTTCAACCTGCATCTTCACCTTACACAGGATAAACGAAACTGAGTTTAAATTTTGTCTGATTTTCTTGTTGAAGTAGTGATATTCGGTTAGCCAATTGCCAGTTCAGCAATCAATCCGATGAGAAAGATGAAACGGCACTTAACTTGTGATTGAAAAAAAATTAACCAGCAATATTATTGGGAAATAATATATTGTGACTTGTTTGATATTTTTCACACTTTTTAAGGATCAATCACTCTTATGCTTCGTTTGGTAAGGAGGATGGAAAGTAGGAAGGATAGAAAGTAGGAGGGATACACTTTCTATCTATGAAAAGTAGAAATGATACACTTTCCTTCATTTGTGTTTAGTTGGATGGATAAAAAATAAAAATGATTATTATTATTATTTTTTTGTTCTAGCTAAAATTAGGAGTGACAATAGAGTCGAATTGTATCGTATCAGATTCGCGTTGAATCATTGCGAGTTTGTGTCGAATATTAGTTAAACTTAATTTAACTCATTTAACTAATTGTGTCGTGTCGAGTTGTGAGTTGACCTATTTATTTTTGTATCGAGTTCGAGTCGTGTCATCGTGTTGAGTCGAAAATTTTTACCTTTAGGTAAGATGGAAAAAATATTTTTTTAAAACAATTTTTAATTTTTTAATTTTTAATATTTAATTTTTTTTAAAATATATATATACATATTTTATCATTATATTTTTATATAAAATTAATGTATACATAAGATATATAGACAAATAAGATACATCTTAACATAAATAATTAACTTTCCATTTACTTTTATACCAATTTTGAAGGAATTGATTTTGGTGAGTTGAAAAGAAAGTTAATCCATCTATTTTTTTATCCTTTCTATTTTCCTTCCTTACCAAACATAATGTTTTATTTATCCATCTAACTTTCCATCTTTCCAACCACTCACTTTTTCATCGTACCAAATGGAGCATTACTTTTTAGGGGACATATCTTTAAACTAGTTTGAATTACAATGATCGACTCAAAAACTCGAGAAAATAGTCGGCGTAAGTCTAAAGATCCTATAATAAAAAATAATATCAATTATAGCTAACAAGGTTAGAAATAATTGAACTAGCAGGAGAATTTGGACATGTTTAACTTTTGAAGCATCCTATTGTAATCTGAGTCGGTTAATCATACATGGGCATACTTAGTTTATAAGACTCCTCCCGTTATTGCGACGTGTGAGGAGGATTTATTTTCACGACTCGATTAATCACACATATTTCTTAAAAATAAAACCCTTATGAAATTTAAATAGACAAATAGTTAGAATTACTGTTACATATACTTTATTTCATCTTTTATTGTTTTGGAATTCCCACAGACGTAGCTGTAGGAATCTACACATTTCTTCGGAAGTAAAACGCACACACGCACACATTTTCACCCTTGAAGCCACCTTGGGCATAAAACACAGAGGAGAAGGAGAAGGAGAAGGTTATTCTCATTACTATTTAGGAAACGTGATCATCCAGAGGTTTGAGAAACAAATGCAAGCAAAAGTTTTAATTGGGCCATCTGCGAACTTGGTACACACATACAATTATAGTTTTGTTGAATTTTATTTTCTTATTTCTCAAATAAAATAAAAGTTTTTTTATTAATTTTTTTTCTAATATATATACTTTTTATTAGATAATATAATTAATTCATTCAGCGAAGGATAGATTTCGAGGGTTTTCTAGGAAAAAACCTACGTGACGTGACGAGCATTCACAACAGACTCTAACTAGGGTTCCAATTCCCTAGTGTCTCTCTCTCAGCAGGTACTAGAAAACAACAATGTTCCGAGCTCAGTCCACCTCCGCCTTTGGCACTCCATCCACGCCTTCATTCGCCACTGGCTTCGGTACATCACTGTTCTCAACCCCATTCTCCTAACAATCCCAACCCCAACAGCAACAAACTTCTTTGTTTCAGCCACAACAAAGCCATGGTGGTTTTGGATTTTCGACTCCATTCGGTGCCGAGCAAGCACAATCTACTCCGTTCGGTCAGGCAACGTTGACTCCGGGGGTTGCCGTTCGGAAATGCTCAGTTGACCACTCAGATGGCTCACGTGGCTCCTCTTCCTTTCTCTCTCGCCGATCGGGACATTCAAGGAAGTCATTATATGTCTTTTCGACGTGCCTTCGAATTGTGGAGGTTTTGAATGATTTTTTTGGTGTTCTATCAGGCGATTGTTGATGCTTACAAGGTGGAGCCTGGAAACCCTAATTATGCGTTTAAGGTTCGATTCCTTGCTCTGGAAACCCTAAGTATGCGTTTAAAGTTCGATTCTTTGCTCTGTATTTATTTTTGCTGGAGATTTGACTGTTTGTAGCTAAAAATTAACTTTCTCTTTGGTTGTTAAGAAAATCAAAGAGAAGAAGCAGAGAACAAATTTGAATGTTTTCTTTTGGGTGAAAACAAAAATAGAATGATCGTTTTCTTCCACTACGCTAGTTGTGTCAGGTTCTTTATTTTTTCCTTTTTCTTTTTTGAAAGTTGTTAACGATGATAGCAGGATTCAAAACCTATGCGGCTGTTTGAAAATGTCAAATTGGTATAAAACAGGGCAAGTTAGGAAGCATGAGTTATACAGTAAAATCCAAAAAAAAAAATAAAAAACAAGATACGCCAATAAAAAAATATATTTTATATTTAGAGTAACGATATGTTTTATAAATTTGTATTCCAAATCAAGGAGGACCATTGAATTAGTAAGTTCTATTTAAAAAAGTTGATGAGATCCACTGATCTACCGGTCCTCCTTGATTTGGAATCCAAATTTGGGTTACAAATTTAGGATACATAGCACTACTCTTATATTTATATTATTATGTGATGATTTGATAACAGTATTTTTTAGTGATTCTTTGACAATATTGACATTTTTTATTTTAAAGAATGCACGTATTCGTGTCTTCAAAGTCATATGAATTTTTGTTGATATATTGTATTGTATGTGAAATTGAAAAGAGGGGGTAAAGGTTAAAACTAAAAATTATTCATATTTTTCTACATATAGAAGTATCTGTAAAATATCTACATATTTTATATATTATCAGATACATTTGTTGCATATCTTATATATATTTTTGAATGTTGGATGAGTATCGCTTTTGATACGGTATCCGATATAGATATGTTAACCTTATCGGTGTATCTGTGCTTCATAAATTGCAAATTTTATGCTAAATTCTCAATTACAATTTCACTCTCTACTTCCACTATGCTAACCACAGTTGAAATTCTTTTGGTTTTGCCGGAAGACACCCGATTGGTGCTTTAGAGTTTGAAAGCTTAGACTGTTGTGTTGGTGTTGCAGCATTTGTTGTTCAGTGTGACAGAGCCCGAGAATACAACTAAGCCAGCAGGTGAATCAGACGTGAGTTCATTATTGTTAATTCCTTGCTTTTATGACCTCTGATTTTCTTCTTTTCTTTTCCGCATTCATTTTTTAAATGTGGATTTGCTAAATTTTGGTGAGTACAAATTTCCAAATTATGTGATCAGAGGCAATGGAGAAGCTGAAAGGAATGGAAAGTTCAAACCGGGAACGCCTTTGACCCCAGCTTGTTCAGGGTTTCAAAGATCTTTCCCAACGTCTTAAGGCTCTTAATATTTTTTATGCTGGAGCTTATGATTGTTCTTTGCAGATATTTATGAGATACGTTATCAATGTAAGGTCTCATTTTGGGACTAGCATGCAATTTTTTTGTTACTTCCTAGACTTAATTACTCGTCCTTACTTTTACGAAGAACCTTGAGATTGTCTTAAGAGAGTACGAATGATTGACTGCATGCATAATTTTTATAGCTGAAATTTAAAAAAAACCCCTTTTTCCTTTTGGGGTCTCAGGTAGATGACTACTAGAGATGAGAGTGTATTGGGTAAAAATGAATATTCGTTTAAATTTATCCCGTTTAGACCGGGGATGAACTATAAATATTAGACGGTGGACGTATACAAAAATATCCTTATAAACTCGTGCGGGGATGAAGGTGTGGATGAACTAACACTTAATTCCGTTCACCTCCTTGTCCCGTTTTACCTCCTTGTTCCGTTTTACCTGTTATTATACATACATGTTATTGTGCAGTGTTTTGAAAAGTTTGCTTAGGCGAGCGCCTAGACGAGAAGCGAAAGTTTATTGCCTTTAGCACTCTAGGCAAAGCGAATGTGACTGAAACGAGAAAAAAGCGAGCGCCTTGCACTTGGGCAAAAGGAGAGAAAGAGAGCACCTTAACTATGCGAGGCAAGATTGTCTTGGATTGTTTTATTTTTATTATGGATTGTTGGATTAGGGCAATTGAAAAAAAATTATAAGATGCCCATACACCCAATTATTCTTTTATCCCATAAATAGAACACTCAAACTCTAATTTTGCTCAAAGGGTCAGACGACGAGTGTTGGCTGCTGCTGCTTCTTCATTGCTGGTTAGAGATGGCGACTGCTGCTGCTGTGCCTTGCTTGTTGGTCCATACACAGGTTTGTCTCCTTTTTTCTTCTCTCTTCTGGTTCTCTTCTTCTCGTTTCTGGTTCTGGTTCTCTTCTTCTTGCATACCTTGTGCACATGTTTACGCCACTTTCAAAAACCACACTCAATTTAACTATTCACAAATACACCCAAAAATCATATAATACCTTCAGACACCTGTTCTGATGATTACTCAATGTAATTTACAAAGCAATAAATACAACTATGATACCTTAACCATGCACACAAAATTGGAGCAACACTATTATTCGGATGTAAATGAAACCCATTTGAGCAATTACAATATAAAGAAAATAACAAATGTATACTTTTCAGCTACCAAAGAGAGAGACTAATAAAGCAATGCCTTAAAAGAGACCCATTGCTCCAAATGATGACAATCACAACATACCATTGCTCCATACAATGTGCAGAATTAAAAAAATGAATTACAAGAATCACGATTGTATTATTTTAATTGCTGCAAAACAACAAACTTGTTATTGGGAAAACATAGTCGCAAGGCACCCGTCCGCGAGTAAAATACATACTTCTCCAATAGTTAGGAAGAACATTTGAAATCAGACAAAAAAAAAGAATCAAAATAGCAAGAACATATGAAATTTACCTCAACAAATAAAAAAATAGATAATTGAACAATAGTACTATGGCCAGCAGAAGGCCTTGTGGAAGTTGTTAGAGCAAATGTAGGCTGAGATAAGGGAGTTCATATGACAATGTCTTTTGTGGGCATTTGGTCGAACAGTTGGTGAGCATGACCCACTAGTTTAGTGGCTTTGGCGTGTGGGATCAAAGTGTACATGAGCTGGTGGGAAAAAATAGAGAGGGGAGTTAATCAATGCATGTGAGTGTGTGCACAGAGGTGCGGGTGTGGGGATGTGTTGTTCTGAAGGTAGGGGTTTGATGGATTGGGTTGGCTATGGGGTGGCACCGTGGTATAGGGTGTGTGTTGTGAGTTGGGGGAAGGGAGTGAAATTTTGCGAGAGAAAGCAGAGGGTATGTGAGGAAGACAAATAGTATGCAGACAGAGAGGAGGGTAAGTTCGAAGATTACCTGTCGTTGGTGGTTCTCCAGATGCTACATCATGGAGTATCTGATAAGAGAGAGAGACGATCAATGTTTCTCCGCCTATCGATGGGTGCTTCAGGGATGGGAAAGAGAGAGAGACGGGGGTGGGAGAAAGAAGGGAGGTAGGTGGGTGGGAGTGGAGAGAGGTTGCAGAGATAAAGAGAGAGAGGAGGCAAATAAAGAGAGAAAATGTGTGATCGCATGAGAGAGAAGAGTAATTTAAAAATCTCACTTAATCTATTCACGTGATTTCTTAGTTTTATTGAATTAACATTAAATTTTAATATTCGATAAAATTCATAATCAATCCAAATATGATAATGAATTAAGTAAATAAATTAAATCACTAAATTAGGTCCCGATATCATTGCTCGAGAGGGAAACCACGTTGAATTAGATATATTTTTTCGAATCTGTATTTTTTGTCAGTCATGGTTTTGATGTATCCGAAGTATTGCAATTGAATTAATTAACTAGGAAATCAATGCCCATGCCGTGGCCAAATGCCATACAGAAACTCTGGCCATTGATTTAAATTTCTGACCGGCCTGGACCTATTTGGGCCTGATTGAGGCCCATCCATAATTTTACCAACGGACCACAATCAAGTAACAAGCCGATAATTGCGGCATAGTGGCCAGGTCCAACATTTTTAATCTGATTATAGCCCGTATATATAACCACATTGGTCCTGATGGGCCTACAAATTTAAATTAGATCAGTAGGCTAGTTTGGCTTAATGTTGGGCCTAATTAGCCCACAAATTTGCACATTTGTGTTGAGGCCATGGATTCAACAAGAACATTGTGTTAGTTGGGTTTGGTGGGCCTGATGAGCCCATGGATTTAACAAGTTCAGTGGATTGGCTGGGCCTGGGGGACCTCATAACTTCATAAGCGCACTATTTAGAAGTCGAAACAATAAAGAAAACACAATTTGAAACACAGAGATGCTCATAACAATAAAAAAAGTTGTATCGTTTTCAAAAAATTCATAGTCGTTTGACATAATATCTGTAAGGGGTTCTATACCCCTTCACAGAAGCATTCTGCGTGACCACTCAGTAGCCTTTATTTTTCGTCCCACATCGGGAGAGAACCGTTTCCCCCTTTGTCATATAAGTGAACACTTACTATAAAGAAAGTATCCACTAAACACCTGATCAGGTTGCTAGTTATAAAATGAGCGATGAGATATATAGCTCAATTCCAAGAATATATCAAAAAATCCTTAGACAGTTATTTGCGCTTCTAAACGAAACAACTAACGTTTCTTCTTTTTAAAACCAATTTTATGGAATGCCCATTTCGAATTAAAAAGCTAACAATTTGAAACAATAAAAATTGTTTCATAAATGCATAGTTATTATTGTCGTACGATACGTCACGATACACTTGAAAAATAATACGTATCGTGTCTCTATATCGTTTTTGCACCACATCGTACGATATGTGACAATTTTTTTTTTTAAATTTTTTGGGACTGAAATAATTTTGTTTTACCCTAAGAAATAATTTTATTTTACCCTAAGAAATAATTTTATTTTATCATAAGACTTATTTTTAAATCACTAGCCAATGAAACAACATCGTTTCAGTATTTATGGCTCTAAAAAAAAAAAAAAATCTGTCGTTAATGTTGTTCAATTGAGTTCAAAATTCCTAATTAATATTAAAGTTGTTCAAATAATTAATGTTAAAAGTTTGAATTGTAGGTCTTTACATTTTAATATTACTAAATTATGTTAAGAACTTGAATAGTTGGTAAAACATTAATGAAATACTATATTATTATGAATTTATGACTTTTTTTATAAATATATATATATATTATTTAAAAATTAAAATTACGTGTATCTTACGATATACTATTTTTAAAAAATGATACGCCTTCCGATACGTGGTTCGACAACTATGCATAAATGGCTACCATAAACATTGAGCCCAGCAGATGGGGGGAAATTAGCTCTCAGATATTCAATTTATTTAAATTAGATCACCTAATCTGAATTAAAAAACTAATCAAAATATTGGTCCAAATTCTTGCCTACTAGGTTTCTTTAACAAATTATACGAACTCTCTAAGCAGAAAAGCACATTCCAAACTCGTAAGAGATCAAGCATCGACAAGGAAACACAAATAACTTCCAGGAAATTGAATTTATATTACTTCTGGTCTGCTCAAGAATACAACTTGATAAACAGAAAGACAAAAATCACAAGGTTGTGTATGATTTATACAACACATACACGACAGTTCTTATCAACAAAATTGCAGATCCAAACTCCAACAACGATACAATTTACAGACTAGACAGTTGAAGTTTAGGATTAACAAAAATTACTCGATATAGTGAGAGGAAACATGAAATAAATAAGTCGGTAAAATCGTTCCAAAACGCTAGAAATTCGAGGTTGGATATGACAACTATTTTTTTGAAAGTTAGATCTGAGAATTGTTGACTAAACTTAGCAAAGTACCTGAAATAGGTCAGATTTGAGTTATTATAGGCTGGTCCTACTCGCCTATACCAACCATTGCTTCCTATAGAGATGAAGGAGAGGCAGAAACTGGTTGGGAGGCGAAGAGAGAAGGGCTGGAACGCTATGGGCGTTGATGATAGAAGATGAGAATAGAACGAGGGGGGGAGGGAGAGAGAGATGAAGCGGCAAGAGGAAATGGGAAGAGAAAAAGCGATCGGGTCTTCTTGCCCGATCGAAGTGGTCCTACACCCACAAACCTCTCTATACTCACTGACAACTAAATTCATCCATCTTATTTTTTTCCAACCTTTTTAATCGTTAAACTTGTCTATCACTTGATACTAAATAATCAAGTTAATTAATTTTTTTTTATAAACGGTGGGAAATAGAGTATAAAAAGAAATTCTAGAAGAAGATCGAAATAAATTTAATAATTAGCGCAGTAGCATGTCTTGCAGATGAGGAGGCTGGGGAAGTTTCCACTAAAGTTTCACTAAAATACCCTCGAGAAAGTGAAATCTGTGACTTATTAAGCCGAAAGAAAGCCCCGTTCAGCGAGACTTAGAGAAAGGAGGCCATCTTCTCTATGCCAGGAGATAAAGCTCCAGGCCCTGACCTGATGGCCTGCCGACTTTATTTTACAAGCTTTTCTGGGAAGTGATCACAGGGAAGTGGAGTGGGTATAAAAAAGGTAAATTTAATAGTTTTACGATTTAGAGTTCATTGAGACGGGAACAGAGATTTGTGGGGTAGGAATAACCTCACCCAACCCTTTTTTGTACCCTATAAAAAAGGAAAAAAAAAATCTTAAAAACCTTTTTAAACTAAAAAAAAAAAAATCTCTATTTTAAGCCCAAATTAAGAGAGAATCAAATCCTTACTCTTTTTACCAATGGTGAGATTACTCTCTTTTTTAAAGATCCAATGATCATATTTATCCTCCTTTAAATTTAAGTTTGGTCTTATCTTCCTTTAAATTTGGGTTTCATCATGGAAAAGGTCTATATCAAATCAAGTTTTTTATTTTTTATTTTTTAACTCAAATTTAGATTAGAGTTTGAGTCTCCATTAAAAATGGTCTTAAGAATAAAAAATGAAAAATACAATAGTTGATTTGGTAATGTTTAAGCTCATGATTTGTAGGATTAGTTATTTCTTAGGAAAAGAAATGAATTTAAATTCCCACCAACCAATTATAAGAATGGACATTATTAAGAAATTTATATTCCATTCTCAATATTCAATACCATGTATCAAATGCAGTGTTAGAGTTTTAATTGAGTCTTTATATCAAAATTCAACAACATAATTGTCTTATGTGACTAGCATATAACTTGGATATTTGTCTCGTGAAAAATTTGTTACAAATAGGTTAAAATAATTTACTTTATTTTCTCTGATTTTGAGAAGAAAAAAAATGATAACAAACCCCCCCCCCCCAAAAAAAAAAAAAAAAAGAGTGAAAATTTGAGAAATATTGGGAGAGAAAAAAAATATCGATGTATTTGAGAGAAATAAATTTTACTTCACAAATATACCCTTATGAACAAATCATATGACTTTTTTTGTTAGAACAAATTGATAGATTTAGATGGAAGAACTAGATTGAAAATCGGTTAAAACTTTAAATTGTACCAATTGAAATTTTAAGAACTAAATAAAAATTATGTGTGCTACTTTTAAGAGAGTAAATTAGAAATTACCCTAAAAATTACAAAAGATTAGCAATGAGATTTTATTTTTGAATCCTGGAGCCTAAAGGGGTCATGGTCTCCCATGTCATAACCTAGTTCCTTCTATACTGAGAGGCAACTTGTAATTCATGATCAATCATTTTCGTTGATTTAACATTTTATAAAAAAAAAAGAATGAAATATCATAAACAAATTCAAAATCTTAAGAGAGGTTTGAAGGCCCAAAAAAGGAAGAATTTTGTTCATTCATCTTAAAAACTTAAAAAAAGAATCAAATAATGCATCCAGAGGATGACATCCGAGAGAGGCGAAAGAGAGATTTTCGAGACTGCAAGCAACAAGCAACAACAGCTCACAAAAGGAGGTGAAAATAGATTTTTTATTTATTTTCTAGCTTGGAATTACATTGAGTGACAAACTTAAGTTCATTACCAAACGCAAAAAAAAAATTGTATACTAAAACATAAACGAGAACAAAAGGAGAAGAAAAAAAGACAAATTAAACCTTTTAATTACAAGGCACTGGGAAAGAGTCCCAGAACCGTTACTTATAATCAATGAAGTCTAACAGACATAAGCTTCACTGTTCAACTCCATGGCTTGGGGACACAAATGCCAGCAACTCCCTATCATCTTCAAATTTCACCATGTCTTCCTCGTCCAAGCTCACCCATGCCTCTATTCCATCCCTCGATGGTGTGTCCAAGAAAGAAACTAAATTCTTGAATGTAAGGCTAGCAGAACCCACCCATATAGGCATTCCCCACCCAAAATCAGCTTCATGGAGAGGGAATCTGCACAAACTAGTGAAGTTAAAGCAGACTAGGTCTCCTTTAGTGTAACTTTCACCTAGCTCCTTGAGTAAGTTCAAGTGTTTGTCACCCTCCCTGAGGTTTGTCACGTTATTGAAATCGACACCGCGTATTGCATCTCTCATCTTCTTCACGATGCCATAACATGGTTCCTCACTGTCCATGGATGGAACTGCTATCGAGATTTGAGTAATATTCCCGAAAGAATAATCAGGTAGTGGTGGATCAAACCTCGGTCGTAGGTTTACTGCATGAAGCACATGGTAGACCTTATTGGGGTCTGCTTTTGTTCCTGTGGCAGCTATAAAACGACTCCATATGAAGGCTGAAAGTGCTTCAATTTGTGTTGGCCTTATTGGACCATTATTGATTGTATTCTCAGTATATTTGTCTCTAAGAGCAGCTATCTTAGAAGCAATGAAAACAAACCTCTTTGTTACAATATTTTCCTTGGTCATGCCAATACCTGGTTTGAAGCAAGTTATATCAATTGGTGGGAAGAGCGTTGCGGATTCAAATCGTGGACAGTGTAAATCGCTATCTCCACGGGCGGTGGCGGCCCAACTATTGACAAACATGATAAAGGAGAAAGCATCAGCAATCTTGTGAGATATGAGTACACCAACGGCCATGCCACCACAGTCGAAGAAGTTCACTTGAATGGCCATGCAAAGATCATTAGTATCATCCAATTCATATGGGAGGAACTTGTTGAGTTCACCAGGGATTGGATTTCTAATGACCTCGGAGAGTTGGCAGTTGACACGAGCTTCTACGTAGGGGATACCCTCATCGTTGCAATCGACATAAGTGTTGTCGATAACTCGTCCTGCTAAAGGGTAGAATCGAGTTAATGCCTCAGAAAGAGACTTCTTTAGGTTGTTTGATCTGAATACACTGCTGTGTTTGTTATCCACGTCCACGGGATAGAAGAGAACTAGAGGCATAAAAATTGGAGGGGATATTTGATCGAGAAATGAAAGTTGGTAGTTGCGAAGGTGATCAGGGGTTGAAGAAGATGGAGTTATTGTCTCCTTGGAGATAACTTCAATGTCAACCTTCATCCTCTGATCAAAAACAATAACAAGCTACTAAAAAAATTATTATATTTTTTGCTCTCTATTGGTTTAGAGATTCTATGAAAGTATTGTAATGAGCAAGTGTTGCAATGAGGCTTAAATAGAGCTCCAACGTACAAAAAGGCAAAGAATCCATCTAATACATGACAATATTTACGTGTACACATAAAAATCTAGGATCTCATCAATTTTAAAATGTTGTCGGTCGGATAAAATTCAATCATCCACTTAGTTTATTGGTGGATGATTGAATTTGATTAAAAATGACAAAATTTGCAAATCTATCTCATATGGCATTTACATCAATAAATTTGTGGTGCATGTGCATTGACTTAGCATCTCATGATTTTAAAACACATCTTGATGGTTAAGGTAAGACTACTTACACACGAATAAGCCAACAAAGTTTTCTCTATTTAACTATGTGGGAATAAGTACAGTGACTCAGTACCAAGGGCAGAGCTACATGTATTGGTGTGAGCCCCGTTGACTTTTGAGGGGTTAATTATATTTTTATAATATAATAACTTATAATTTAAATTTTAAAAGATAAACAAAGTGATTTTTATTATTCACGGTTGAAATTACTTTAAAATTAATCTAAGAGCTAATATTAATATCCTAAATTTAATAGAAAAAAATAGGTCACTAAGGGTGTGTTTGAAGTGACTTTTTAAAAGTACTTTTAAAAATTATTTCTCATAAATATTTTAAAAAAAAATAGTGTTTGAAACCGCCCCACTACTACCGCTACCACCACCACCCCTACCACCGCCACCACTACTACCACCACCACCACCTTGCCACTGTCGTTGCCGCCACCATCACCACCGCTGCCCCCACCGCCACCGCCTTCGCCGCCACCACCACCGTCATCGCCGTCACTACCATCATTGTCGTCGCTGCCGTCACCACCAGCGCCACCACCCCCGTTGCCGCTGTCACCACCACCACCACCACCACCCCTCCCCCCCCACAATCACCCTCATCGTTGTAGCCACCGCCACCACTGCCACCATCACCGCCCCCGCCACTGCCACCACCACCATCGTCATCGCCGCCACCACCACCATAATTGTCATCGCCCTCACCACCATCACGGTTATTGTCACCCACTACAACCATCACCGTCTTCTACCACCACCACCGCCGCCCACCACCTTTCACCCCTATTACAAACCAATGTTTAAATTATTTTATCTTTTCTCTATGTTTGTGATTTAATTTTAGATATGAATACAAATATATTTATTGTTTACCATTTTTTATTACTTTGTGCCTTTAGGTACAGACAATAACTAGTCTATCTAATAAAGTATATTATAATTCAAATTTCAAAACATAAACAAAATGACTTTTTTTTTTCGCAATTAAGATCTCTTTAAATTTTATTTTAAAGTTAATCCGACGATAAATATTAACACCCCAAATTTAATAGAGAAAATGAGTCTCTAAAGGTGTGTTTGAGACAACTTTTTAAAAATGCTTATAGAACTTATAATTTCTCATAAGTTAAAAAAAAAAAAATTAGTATTTGGAACTACCCTACCACCACCACTACCCTCACTACCCCACCACCACCACCACACCCATCAGTCCCATGCTCCACCATCACCACCTATTCCACAACAACCACCACCATCCCTACTACCCCCACCCCCTCACTACTACCACCGTTGTCATCGCCCCCATTACCAGTATCACCATTGCCACCCACAGTTGTCACCATTACAATCGGGCGTCGTCACCTATCACAACCATCACCATCTCCTACCACCATCACTGTTGTCAACCACCGCTTGTGCTCCACTACAAGTGGTACTTAAATTTCTCTCTCTTCTCTATTTTTATAATTTAATTTTGGACGTGAATACAAATATGTTTATTGTGAACAATTTTTTTTTTAATTATTTTATGCCTTCAGATACGAGAAATAACTAGTATCTTTATTTTTGACATGACTATAGAGCGACATTTCTACCATACTATGACAATACTATTCTACATTTTTGCGCTAATGGTATATAGAAAATAAAGTTGAGTGACTAGTATATCACATATTGAACATAAGTCTATGCTTTACTTCGTATGTGTATCAACTATAACAAGGAAGGTTACTACAATCCCTTATTGTTTAAATTCAAAATTCAAGCCCTTAATACTTTTTACACCCCGTTATTCTTATTTTTCCAAACCCAAATAAAGAAACCGTTCTGTTTTACGCAATCATTTGGGGAAAATGATGATTGATACTACTAGATAAGGTTATGATCATGCACTAAATGATTCGTGAATGAACATAAACCTAGATCTAGTTGGAAAAAAGTGCAAATAAATGAATACAACCCAACCATGTGATTAGCGATGGGCTGCCTAATTCTGTGTCTCCCACCGGACATGCTTATTAATTTGTTGGTTAGGCTTGCCATTCTTTTTGTTTTTTTTATGTGGCCCCCGTTCCATTCATTCATTTTGGTTTTTGGATAATACATCATGGACAGGGACCTTTGAATCAATGAATCTCGTTAGAAAAAAGTGAATAGAACCTATTAATCTAATAAGTCTCGAGTTAATTTATGCATATTTTAATTAATTTTTTATTTAATCCAGTTAAAGATATATCACCTACGTTGGAATTAGGATATTCATGATAGATAAATCTCTCGTACCCTGACTCCAATAATTACTAAGATTCAAATTCAGAACATTTAAATTTACAACTCATAAATTGATATGACAACAAAATTATGTTCAATTTATCTCATTGTCCCCCCTAAAATTTTTGTAAATTTAAATAGTGGCCCTAGTCTTTTTAGTCTTCAATAAGTTAGTGGTTCACTTTTTCTCCTAATCTACTAAAACAAGTGTTTTTATTATTAAAATAAGTAGTACAAAGGATCGATGTGTGATTCTTTACTTCATTATATATATTAGTCAAATACAATATCTCTCTTATTTAATACAATTTCTACTATGTTTTTAATATTATTGTATAATAACATACGAATAGATGCAAATGATAAGTTATGCATATTTATACCCTTCCAAAAATATCAATTTCTCAATAAGATTTAAAAATGACTTACAAATTTATCATAAAATTGATTAATTATATACATTATTGAGATTTAAAACAACATAACCATTTTAAAAATATTAATTTTTGAACAAGGTTAAAAGAAAATTGCTTAAAAATTTATCGTAGAATTGATTAGTTATAGACGATTTTTGAGATTTTGAACAATATCGTTGTGTTTTTGTTTAATATATGATTGAGTTGAAATTTGTCACTAAAAAAATTATTGTTCATGTTTGTTCAAATTTTATTAAATGCTGAATTGATTTATTTTTATATAAATTATATTAATATGTTACACATAGTTGAACTTTTAACAAAAAAATTTTGAAAATTTATTAATACTTATTATTGGACGTGGGGGAGAATTTTTTTATACCAATTGATTAATCTTTTTCGTTTATATTTTTGCCCCTACTAGAACATAATCCTGGCTCCGCCCCTCTAAGTACCTTAATATTCCCTTAGCTCATCCATAGCCTTTGGAGATAGGAGTCTTGGCATATTGGTGATCTTGATTATCACAACTGTAACTACACTAACCCACCCATTTTGGGGCAACAATCCTTATACAAGTCATGTCCTAAAGCCAGATCTGATACCACCTTGTAACGCCCCTGGTTAACTTGCACTGGCATTGTGAACTTATGATTGTTTTGAGGGGAAATAATCATGCCATGATACAGGGAAGAAAAAAAGATAAGTGTTCAATCATGCAATAATATTCGGATTAATCTAGACATGGTATAGCCATGGGAAATCTACAAGGTGCATGCACTGGTGTAAAACTTCAAGAACGAAAGCATAATTTATTACTAGCTAACCCAATCAAATTGAACAATTGACTGTATATTGTCTTGTTTGTCAAGAAAATAACTCATGAACGTGTGATCTTTTACTAGCCTGCTCCTTTGAGGGGTCCAGTTTTTCCCATTTCAATCATGCCTTTAGTGACACATCCAAGCCGGACCCCTCATTAGTTAGCTCACTATGAAGAATGTGACTCATATCTGTCCTAGCCAGCTTCATGAGCCTTCTTTATGTTAGAGAATAAGGTCCAGTTTATCCCATTTCAATCGTGCCTTTAGTGCCTGGGACACATCCAAGCCGTACCCCTCATTAGTTAGCTCACTATGAAGAATGTGACTCATATCTGTCCTAGCCAGCTTCATGAGCCTTCTTTATGTTAGAGAATAAGGTCCAGTTTATCCCATTTCAATCGTGCCTTTAGTGCCTGGGACACATCCAAGCCGTACCCCTCATTAGTTAGCTCACTATGAAGAATGTGACTCATATCTGTCCTAGCCAGCTTCATGAGCCTTCTTTATGTTAGAGAATAAGGTCCAGTTTATCCCATTTCAATCGTGCCTTTAGTGCCTGGGACACATCCAAGCCGTACCCCTCATTAGTTAGCTCACTATGAAGAATGTGACTCATATCTGTCCTAGCCAGCTTCATGAGCCTTCTTTATGTTAGAGAATAAGGTCCAGTTTATCCCATTTCAATCGTGCCTTTAGTGCCTGGGACACATCCAAGCCGTACCCCTCATTAGTTAGCTCACTATGAAGAATGTGACTCATATCTGTCCTAGCCAGCTTCATGAGCCTTCTTTATGTTAGAGAATAAGATCTAGTTTATCCCATTTCAAACATGCCTTTATTGCTTGGGACACATCCTAGCCCGACCCCGCATTAGTTAGCTTACTATGAAGATTGTGACTCATATCTGTCCTAGCCAGCTTCATAAGCCTTCTTTATGTTAGAGAATAAATTTTGCTAATTCTAGGCCATTACAAAGCCAAAAAAATAAAAAGGCAAACTTGTACGTGATTCTTTTATTATTAGAGGTATGCAGAAAGTTAGATGTACATAGACTAAAATTCAAAGGGAATATATAGTATTTTTTTTGGTAACTTATAGTTGTCCTATATCTGTTTGAATTAGTGTTTTTGGACATTAATCTCATTCAATTCAATTTCTCTTACGTTTGGCCAACAAATCATAAGTTTATCTAAAGAAATATAAATCTGAA